TTCAGCATTACCACGTGCAGAGTTCCAGGTAGGTCTATCCACTAGCAGGACAGTATCGTCGGCAAAGGAAACAATTCTACAGTTTTTGACTTTAAGGCAGCAAAGCTCATTCACATAAATAAGAAACAGAGTGGGACCGATTACACTTCCCTGGGGAACCCCATAGGTCAGTGGAACCTCAGAGCTAGTGATATTATAAGATTATCCCTGGATAAGTCAAGGAATAAGCCAATGGTTTTTGTATTTTTATCAATATTAGTTATAACCCCATTACTTACATCCAGGACCACATCTTCAGCGGATTTTCCACGTCTAAAACCATATTGTGATTCTGCGAGTAAATGATTCTTCTCTAAATATTGTATTAATTTTTTGTTTAAAAGTTTTTCAAGTAATTTGGAAAGTGATGATAAAACAGAGATAGGCCTGTAATTATCGATACTGTCTCTATCTCCACTCTTGTGGATAGGGTGAACAAGAGCTTTCTTGAATACCTTTGGAAAGACACCCGAGGACAGGCAAAAATTAAAAACATGCTTGAGCACAGGTATAAGTACGTGCCTTGAGGTTCTAATAACAGATGATGGGATTCGATCCCACCCTAGTGCTGTGTTATCTTTCAGTGTTAATATAATCTGTTCAAGTTCAGACTCATCAACCTCAGTCAGAAACATTGAGTGTAGAACAGGTGGGCGATAAATTAGTGCATTTAGCTCATTAGGAGTTTGTTGACGGCTAGATCGAGTCATGAGGTTATTCGCCAGTTTAGCACCTATCCCTGCGAAATGTTCGTTTACCTTACTAACGGCTGTAGACGGATCCCTATGGTGTTTAAGTAGTGATATAGGTGCAGATTTGTCGCTAGTGGTATTAGTATTTTTTTTGAGTATGTTCCAGGTAGTCTTGGTATTACCCCCGGCCTTTTGTAGTTCTATTTTGTGGTAGTTCTGTTTAACCGTCTTAAGGAGATTATTACAAAAGTTGCGATAGCGGATATAGGTTAATTTTAAAGTTTGATTCAAGGGCTCCTTTTTTGTATTTTTTTGTAACTTATCCCTGTGGCGAATGAAACGCAATAGACCGGGTGTAATCCAATTTTGGTTGCGTGTGGGTAGTAGATGGGCAGGTAGCATACCATTGGAAGAGGTCATATTTAAATATTGATCTGTTTCATTGTTCCTATTTTGTGGAGTTCTGTTTATGTTCAAGTCCCCAATTAGCGCCAGGCATTTATATGATATGCAATAAATATATATAATATATCTTATTGCCTAAGTATAAAGCGTTCTAAACATAAGGAAGATTAAGAATACACAACATTTAACATAACATTTAAGAATACATAACACAACAAACTCAACAAACCGCTAAATAAAATTGTATAGAAAAAGTAAATATTGATGTAACACATAGACGTAATATATAGATGTTAAATAGATCTAAGAAATAAGAGTAGATAATAAAAGAGTATACAATAATAGGTAGACAATAATAGAGTTAAGAAATATGTAAACATTACTATATAGTAAACAAGTAGTTAAATAATATTAGTAAACAGTAGTAAATGCTAAAATAACAATGTTATACAAGTAACCGTAACAATGTAAAATAGTAGAAATAATATAAAGCGGAAATCCCATCCAAGGGATTGTGTGGATACAACATTATATAAATAGATAGGCATCTGGTACAAGTGTAACAAGGTCCCGATGTAATATGATTGGGGAAAAGCGAATTTAAAAAAACATCAATACAATTTGACAGGATAAATTATTACTACGACTTACCAAAAAAACCACGCCATCTGGTGGTCCGATGGCGGACGAAGAGACATCAATACTAAAGTTACAATCTACTTCGGACAAATCAATATATGCGACGCGGGGCGATAGGTGTCACTGTTTACAAGTCCGTACGCAATACAAATATAATGGAAAAATAACTGTTACAATGTATGAGGCAATGGAAAACAGCACTTCGTTATCCAGGATGTCGGCAGACTGCGATAAACGATGTAGGTGTAGACGAGTCCCTTGTGGTTTTGTATCGCTTGAAATCCTCTTAGCACTCTATTAGAGGGTTCAGGGTTAGACAATAGGTTGCAGAAAGATGATCAAGTTATATCCCCTTTATCTACTAGCCCCCACTAAATAATAATTGACAGCGTTACCAAAGGTGACGGAAAACTTTAGTAATTCTATCAAGGTGGAATTTGGAAGGCCGTGATAGTAGAATCTGAAGGAACGATTCAACAAAACTCAGATCTCTGTCTGCCACTGAAACTTACAAGTATCTAGGTATACCTATCACAGTAGTTAGGAATACCAGAATCTGACATGAAGCAAACGTTGCAGGAACGCTTTTTTGGCCGCCTGCAAAAAGTTCTTAGAAGTCTTTTATCGGAGGGCAACAAGGTGCGGTCCTCCAATGGTTGGGTCATGCCGGTTCTGATATGATCCTTTGGTATACTTAGATGGACTTAGACCGAATTAGATGCCCTTGACAGGAGAGTCCGTACACTGCTGACTGCATTCCGAATGCACCACCCACGTTCATCGGTTATGAGATTATATATCCCGCGAAAGTTTGGTGGTCCCGGACTATTAAATATCAAGGCCCTACACAATCCCGAGATATACTATCCCAGAGAATATGTGGGAGTGCATCTCAATGTAGTTGCAGTGGATGCCGGATTCACTCCACTCGCTCTGGCTAAAGAGAATTGGCGCAAACCTGTAGTACTTAGTTCCAATGATCGCATTTCGCAGTCGTCTCGCTAACGGTTAATATTTGTACAGGCACAACCAAGTGACCAGGATCGTACACCAACAGCTTGCCGTTAAATACCAACTTATGAATCTAGAGGTGACATACTACAGGTATGTGCCCGATCCAGTTCTCGAGAATGGTCGGGGCACGTTGTATTGGGAGCGATCTATTATCAGAGACAGAAGAAGAAGAAGAAGCCACCTTGACAATTCTTTCTTGCATTTTAACTTCGTCATAGCGTATATGGGTAGGATGGCATTAATCTTATTTTACAAGTTAAGCTTATACAAGGTAAGTTAGAAAGAGAGTAGTATTGATTTAAAACGTCTAAATATTATCTATTACAGTTATTTTATCATAGTATAAAAGACGTGAATCATTACAAAGTGCTGAATTGAGTTGCAAGTATCATACTGGTACGGACTATTAAGGAGGATGAGTAGTAGGGGAGATTATATTGATCCTCGCCCGTCGCGTCGCTCCGTGACCGAACGTAACCCCCACGGCCGCCCTTGTATACCTGGCCCTCCACTCCTCCGATCGCTGGTTTACATTTTTATACCTATATTAAAGGCCATTATAAGATTAGACATGAATATTTATTACGAAAAGTACACACTTAAGCAAACCTACCTTTGTCGTGAAAGAATATAATGCTCGAAAACATTTTATAAAATATTTTTAAAACCAAAACCAATTCCTCTTAAAGTTCTTATTATATTAAAATGAATAATAGAACTAAATAAATGTTATGATGTCTATTCAATCACTTTGAAAATTATAGTAGCTGTGATTTGAGACAATTTTAATAATTATACCTATTGCAGTTGGGGCACAAAATAACAGTAGATACGTCGCAGGTATATAATAATGACTACGAGAATTAACGAGGTTACCATGGGCATTAAGCATTTATACATAAGAAATGCCTAACGTTTTGACCAGATTGTACTAGTGGTGGCTACAGGATGCTTGACTGACAGTCAGCCTGTAGCCACTGTCAGTGTTTAATACCTACCGTGAGCGCATAAATTCTGGTAAATATAATAATATATTATTGAACGCTATAGTTTAAAAGTTGATAAAATATTCATAGGTACCTAACTAGTTTAAAGTCTTAAAGGTAAATAGACAGGTATATTGGAAAGCTTTATAAAAGAACTTTTACTTGAGGCTTCGCTCACGTGAGTGCTTATAGATTGTGTCAATTAAGTCAGGTATCTCTTGGAAACAATATTTTTTTCTAATAAAAATTACTTTAAATCCTTGACTATGTAAGTCACAAGTACGGAAAAGGATTTATTGTACACCATCATGGTGTCTCCATGTATTGTCACCGAGGGATAGGAGAATAACTTTTACACGAGTGAGGCCTTGAGAGGAAACTAATAACCTACTTGAATATGTTTCATAAAACCGTCGAAATACATGTGACAGCAAAATCGATGCGATTCCATTAAAACTGTTCACGTCAGTTGGGTAAACAACAGGGTAGGTACATAATAAAAAAGTTGCTGCGATTCTGTTCTCAGAACCCCAAAACAGCTATTATATAATATAATATATTGGTAGGTACCTATATCCTATACTTTTACGAAACTGACAAATAAAAATCATCGTATCCAATAAGTATCTTAATCATATATACCTAAGTAAAGTAATTTTATTATAGAATACAACAACATTTTAGAAAAAGAAATATAAAGTTGTACTAAATTGAACCTAATGTTGCTTTGCGTTATTATGTTTGCCCCTTTAGAAAATTTTCATGACTTTATTTAATCTTCTGTGTGTTAGAATGTAGAGGATAGGTACCTATATGATGCTATTATAGAATTCGTAGCTAGATATAGGTACGGGCAGTCGCCGCGCGCCTTGGATCTAGGCGAGACGGGAGTTGTATTCAGTACCTTCATTGAAACAGTCGTTCATAGAAAATAAAGTGCAGTTAAGGTGAAATCCAATTGGTAACCAAAGTTATAGTTGACTAGATTTTAAGTCAGCATCATTTTACAAAAAAATGTGATAAAATTTTATGTTTTTACTCTGGCAATTTAATAAACGTCAGATCGACCACTTTGTAAAGTACAGCCAGCCGACACCGACACGATACTCGACGTTTGTTGAGAATTAAGAGATTACCGTGCATAGAATGAACAAAAACTAATTCCAATAACTTAGAAGCCGTCAGTTACTTTTGAAGTAATAAATAAACTCTCTAAACCTCTATAATGGAGCAAGATATTATCAGACCTTATAAAATTTGTGATGTGAACCGAGATAAAAAGAAAGGAATAGTTGCATCGTCACTTGAAGATTTACTTACAAAAGTGCCTGATAAACTAGGAATGCCGTCGGAAAATTTAACAGTCGTTTTGGAGTCCGATGGCACTGAAGTCGATGATGAAGAATATTTCTCGACTTTAGATCCTGATACATCGCTTATGATTTTACATGGAAACGAGAAGTGGGCTCCAAATATGCCTAAGTGTCAAGTGTCTTTGGACCAAACTGACGACATAGCTTTAGGAGGTAAAGGACAAGTAGCTAATTTGGTTGGTCGTCTCCAACACAATCTATGTCACATCTCACTATTAGGTGGTCAAGATTTGGAACTATTATCAGACATGGATCCAGATAGTCTTGCGGATATTGTAACAGACAGAGACAATAGAATAATTTTGGAACACATCAAGGAAGCTTCAGGAAGGTAAATGTCTTAACCTTGAGTATGTTAAAATAAATATTTGCCAGTTTATCACAAAAATACTGCACTGCAAAAAATTACAACATTCTTTGTCAATGTGTAGAGTATTAAAAACAATAATGTGCTTTGTCAACTATGACAAACAACTTATTATAGCAAATATGAGTTTTTACTAATATCTTTTGTTACAACTCATTACAGAATACTGCTAGAAAAACGACAAGCACAGGATGCAATGGAATTGTTGAAATTGTACCATCAGAGTGTAGCTAATGGAACTGAAGATTTGACACCACCAAAACAAGAGAGAGTGAATGAACCTGTGTAAATAGCTGTTATCATCGCACATCATAACTTGATTCAAAATATTTATCATTCAGTTACCTAAATCCTTTTTTCATTGTTGTCTAAAGATTCAGTCTTCCTACTCTCACGAGTTTTGAACTATGAGGAGTCTTAAATTATTATGTTCATTTTAAATATTTAGTTTATTACATATGAATCAAGCTATGATGCATATAATCAAAACATAACCCTTGATTTATTTCCAAGGAATAGTTTACCTCAAAAGTTTACAAATAAAAATTAGTATTCTGTACATTCCTGCTCATGTAACAAATAATTAATTAAAGCCACTGAAGGTATGCAAAAATAAGACAACACTAAATTGACAATTGGTGGGGAAACTAAATATTGAGGCCTTTTTATAATATTTAGTTTGAATTTTATTTATAAACGCTTTGTACAATAGTTTAGCAAAATCTCAGGAATATTTAGCATGCCATTTTTTACTGGTTTCATTGGCCGTGTGAATTCTGCAAATATTTTATACCGCAATCTCCTCTACTGGCATAAAATTAAATTAATATTTAGTCTAAGGAGGTAATTTAAATGGTAGAACTTAGTGATAACACAACGCTAATCTTATGAATATGAGCTGTATTTGAAAGTTATGATAATGTCTTAAGAAGCATGTAAGTAAATGTAGTTATATGTTTATGTGCATTAAATTAGCATTACACTATTGTGGTACATAACAAGTCAACTATTAGAATTATCTATATAAACATTATTTAAACTTTTAGATGACCAGGAACAATTGTTCGTCAACTGTAATTTTCTGAGTAAATTAGTATTTCACTAAAGTATCTAAAAATATTGATATAATTACTTACTGTTTTAATAACCGATCTGATAATAGGCATGCTAGTACTAAGCATTTACTGTTTTATAAATTTAATCTGAATTATAAAATTTAATTCCCATTTTGTAAACTTTTGAGAAACTTATTGCTACATGGTTGATAATCAGCATCAATGTAAAAGACTGATAGTTGGTAATGTTTTTTTTTATATAGTTTTACCCCTAGTGTAAGATTAATTCATTTAATTCCAAGGTTGCTCAAACATTTTATACAAGATAATGTTTTCCTGTTTGATTCTACTGCCATATGTTATATGAGCTAGATGTTTATTTGCCCAAACTCATAGCTGGGTATAGTTTTAGGCTTGACTGCACAGATGTTGCAATGGGACAAAAGTCATATAATTTATAAATACCTAGCTGTAGTCTGGATGTTCTTTGTGCCCCATTATTTAAATTTTACTGGTCCCGTAAAACAGGAGTGGTTCTTAGTGGTTGTCTTTAAAAAATGAAAAAATATTTTTAGTATTTTGTGAAGTGATAAAGATTTACATCAGTTACTGGTACGGAATTATAACATGACTAGGTCACTAATTGATGAAGGAGTATGTTAGAAAGACATATTGCATGTCAAAATGTTTGTGATTTTTAGAAGAGTGAGAACTTTACTTTTTTACATTTTTGTGACTAAAAATTACATATGCAGGCTATACCTCAAAGTATAAGGTCACAATTAAGTTCCAATAATTAATTTTATTTACATTAGACATAATGGTCTATGTGTCAACTCCCTAGATTGGTCTCTGCATAGGACATACTAATGAATTCATATTATCTTCCAAGTCCTTTATAAATTGTTGGTTAATGTTATGTTAGCATTACTTTAAAATTATTTCGAATATTGTAATAATAATGTTTATGTTGTTAGAATACTAAATTGCTGTGCTAGTATATATACATAATAATAATTACTATAATATAGTCCAGTCAACCAATATCATTAATAATAGCTGGCTAGTTCTTGTTTCCTGCACATTGCATTTCATACCACAATGATATGGTAGGTGGTTGTGTATGAGTAGGAATACATTTAAAGGTATTTTGAGTTTTGATTCTTAACTAGCAATTGGTTACTGATTAAGTAAATTGTTTTAGAGCTTTTTTGAAAACTATTCTAGAGTGTAATTAATAATTGTGTATACACATGTTTATTCAATGCTACATACTGTATACCATACAATTAAATGTACATGACAACCGATCAAACACTTCAATATAAATTTATATTGAAGTGTAATTTAGTATTGTTAGAAATATTATTGTGTGCATAATGCATGTTATATCTTGTATACTCTATGGAATACACTTATAATTATAGTAATTATAACATTTAAATGTTAACACCAAGAAAAACCCTAACTTTGAAATTTTTGTAAGTAATGTAGTTGATAATTATTCTAGTAGTAGTTTGTCTTGATATTGTGTTATCGCATTACAATAACAATACAATTTGAGTTACAATTTAGTGGCTTATGTGATATCATTTAAACTGTAAAAAGCCAAGCTAGGTACTAATTAGACCTCTGTGTAATTAAATATAAAGTTGCAAGTGTCAAATACCTTCTTTAACATTTCTGGAATTGGTAGCAGTCAATAAAATGCCTAATAGAGGAATTGGAATTCAGTTTTACTGTGCACAAATAAAACATTTGAGAAAACAAAATGTTAATTTATTTAATATCCTTTATACCAAAATGATTACATTAAATAATAGAAATGAAAACATTTACGTTGAGATTTAAATTTGTCTACATTACACCTTTGATACAAATAGACATACTGTAATTGGAAAAAAAAACCATTTACAAGCATTTTTATAGCTTCAACAAAGAAACATTTACAGAACAGTGCAGGAACTTTTTTCACGGAAAGGGTTGACTTTTTGACTAGAGAATCCAACTAGCAGACAATCCTCTTGTTCGTGTTCATTAATGAATTTTATTATGTCAGTGACGGCTACAGAAACAGGAATACGTTTTATAGACGCCTCGCGTCGCAGCTGTTCTGTAACAGCTCGCTGCTGTTGTAATGTTGACACCATCATATCCATAACGGCAGTATCTGATAGGCCTATGTTGAAAACAAAATTAAACGCTTTGATATATAAAACAGGGCGTAGCCGCACTCCGATGGTTGCCTGAAAAACAAATAATTAATTAGTTCCCACTTTTATAATATGAAAATAATCACAACAAAATCATGATCAGTCACAAGACACTCACAGCTAAAGTAATGGATGACGTTTTTATTATTTTGGATAAGAATTAAGAAAATTCGTAGAGTTGTTGAACAATTACGGACTTTGACAAATTAAGTCTGATTCACTCCAATCGTCCAATCCAAAACTTCCCAGAGTCATTCGTTTCATTCAAGTCATCTTCCTTTTGTCTAAATAAACGCTTGTAACTGAATAAGTGGCTTTTGGGGTGAGGCGTAAATCATTACCCGTGGGAGAAACATGACCGGAGTGATACCACGGACAAAATACAGAGCTCAAAACCACTGTATGAGTGTCATACAGTTTTTTACAACTAGTTTTCTGATTGGTGTTTTTTTATTAACATAATCTATCATAACAAATATTTAATGATTTACTCCCAAATCACTACGTGTAGAGTAAATATGGCTAATTTATTTTTTATCATAAATTTTTTTGGTAACGGCAGCACTGATCAATCTGATCATTAATTTAGAATAATTTAGATTTGTTGTGCTGTGCTGTGCCTTATGTGAAAAGAAGTCGTAATTGTACGTATAATTTGATAACTTTCATTCTTAATAGCTTTGCATACGTTTTATCTAGTATAAAAAATATTGTTTTATTCATAGTTCCAGCCCAGAAATCAAATTCGTACCTAAAACCCAAAAATGGATGGCGATGGAACCGACACTACAAGCCCTAAATCATACTCTGGAATACCGGAGGCTGTATTTGTAGTAAGTTGCAAATGGTTAGATTAATTAATTCATCACTTCTTACATTCGACTCACTTACTATAGCATGCCAAATCTTGGTTAAAATTAAAAATAACCAAGATCAAAATGCTGTCGGAAACATTCTGTTAGAATTAATTTGCTAAAAATGGGTTTCGGCTTCTTACTGTTTACCTTATTTGATATTGAAGCCTTGTATATAATATTACTGTAGTTACAATTTGCAAGTCTTAGTAAACCTTACCTGAGACTTGCAAATTATCTACTAACCTAATAGTTTTATCTAAATGTATGTAAATAGACATATAGTAATTAATAAATAGTATTATTGTAAGGTAACTTGTTTAAAAACTTTCATTTTACTATAATTCTGTAGTAATGTAAAATCTATCAATCTTTAACTAGGATAATGTTGATGAATTCATGAGCAAGCCAGAAAACTCCGGTGGTGTTGATAAAGTTTTGAGAAATCTCGATGAACAACATGCTAAATACAAACATATGGAGTTATCACTGGCTACTAAACGCAGACGGTTACGACAACAAATACCAGACTTAGCACGGTCTTTGGACATGATTGAAAAGTTGAAAATCCAAAAGGAAGAAATGGAAACAAAGTTCCTTCTAAGTGACCAAGTATTTGTAAAGGTAATTATTTTGGTAAATTCTCAAACCTAACTACCCAGTTATTAATCTTTTAAAGAGTTTGTACTAGCGTACATAGGACACAAAAATAGACATGAACATAACCTGAAATACCATTTATAAAATGTATGTCATGTAAAGGTACTTTATATCTTTTGTAACATGTTTACATCTAACAGAAGTACCTATTTTATTTTTAAATAAGAAATGAACACATGCACACACAAACCTTTTCTTAATAATAATAATTTTAATAATATATTTTTTTTTTATTTGACCAATATAAATATTACAGTGTAGGACATTTCAGTTTAACATAGATCTTAGACAATAATTAGACTAAGTTATTCTAACGTAAATATATAGTAGTGTTTCTACACATAATGATATTGCGATTTTGTTAAAAACTTTAGTCGCTGCCTTAAGTCTTGGCAGAGATTTGAATAAAAGTAGTAAAAAGTACCTATTTTATTTTTAAATAAGAAATGAACACATGCACACACAAACCTTTTCTTAATAATAATAATTTTAATAATTTTTTTTTTTTATTTGACCAATATAAATATTACAGTGTAGGACATTTCAGTTTAACATAGATCTTAGACAATATTTAGACTAAGTTATTCTAACGTAAATCTATAGTAGTGTTATTTATGATTTTCTACACATAATGATATTGCGATTTTGTTAAAAACTTTAGTCGCTGCCTTAAGTCTTGGCAGAGATTTGAATAAAAGTAGTAGTTACCTAAGTATTTTGCAAAATTAAAAATTAAAAGAATGTGTTTTTGCAGGCAAATATACCACCTACAGATAAAGTGTATCTGTGGCTTGGGGCAAACGTAATGCTAGAATATGCTTTAGAAGATGCTGAAAATCTACTATCATCAAATATGGTCACTGCTAAGAAAAACTTAACTCATGTGGAACATGATTTAGATTTCTTAAGGTAAAAATTAATTATGAAAAAATATAAGTAATTTTTTTTAATTTAAAGTTTTGCAATAATAAAAAAGATAGGTATAAGGTACTGTAATCTCTAATATAACAGGTAAAGTTGATCAAATGTGGTAATTACTTGTTAAAATAAATTATGTACTAAACATAATTTAGGCAATTACCATATTTAGTACTCAACAAGTTTTTGTTATATAGGATTACAGTACAGTGACTACAAAAATATATAAAATGCCTGGTCTAGTAACATTTGCTATTACTGGTGGAATATCTCTAATTCTAAGCAATGCAAAATGCTACTAATATATTTTCGGGAAACTAAAATATTCTTACATTAAACTTCCATTATTCTATTTTTGTGGGTCAAATAGGCCGGCTAGACTGAGTGATACAGCCTCACAGAAAACTAGTGTTAAGCAATTCCTTCATTGCGTTTCACCATGGGAGTGAGGTTACCAGTCTTAAATCCTACCCTCCTTATATTCTGGATGGAGGAACCAATGAACACTTGTGACTTATGAGTTGCAGGTGTCCACGGGTAATGGTAGTCACTCACCATCAGATGTCCCGTCTGCTTGTTTGCCTCCTTATATCATAAAAAAATGGGTTAAAAATATTGAAATTCAGTGTTTCCAGGTAGTGGATCATATAAAAATATACTACACATCTAAAAATAACATCTGAATTACTGTTGGACTACAAATCACATAACAATAGAATTAAACATAATTTGAGAGAAAGTGTTGTCAGCATTTCAAAACATTCCCAAAAAAATTATAGTCAAGTCATAGATTGATTTAAATTTACTTTTATTTGCAGAGATCAATGGACAACTACAGAAGTAAACATGGCTAGAGTCTATAACTGGGATGTGAAGAGACGTCAAGCTGCTAAAGCATCTAGTTAATATTCACAAACGGCACTTTTAAATTATATGCAAAGAAATAATTTATAGAAAATTTGCATACTGATTTTGTTTATGTCAACTTTACTAAAACCTTTCAGTAATTGCAGATGATACTTTAGAAAGAGTATTCTAATAACATTAATTATCAATTAATGACAAGATTATTGCCCATGACTTTGCTTGCGATAAAGTAGATTTCATGAACTAATCAAACCTTTCAAATCACTACTTCTTTTCTGAATGGAAGGCTGACATTTACCAGGAAAAATTCTTAAAAACAGATTGAGCAGTGAAAGCGCAAGAGAAAATATCGAATAGTCTATATAACTCTGTCTGACATGCTAATTAAATTGAAATACGTTTTTTTCCAGTTATTCTGCAATTGTTCTAAAAGGAGCCACTAACATTGTTTATAAAAGAGCCATATACTATATTCAGAAAATCACTTTTTACACACAATATTGTTCTTATTATGGTCAATTTACTTACCTATATCTTACATTTTGCAGTCTTATGAGGCAGTATTTACTTTATTATCACTGTGAAATGTAAGTAAAACACAAAATAAAAGTATTTCAGAATTATTAAACCGCAAGTTGCTTAATAAGAAGTGTATTATTTTAGTTTATGATTTAGTTACGAGTTTTATGATTTATGATGACCACGTTATAAGACTGCTTTTAATATATTTATTTTATTTAACTTTATTCACTTTTGTTCATCGGCGGACTTAATGCCCAGGGCATTCTCTTCCAGACAACCCTTGGGTGGTGTCGAAATCTTGTAAGGTAGGTGCACAGAGGTTACGTCTTAATATATTAAGTAATAAGTGAAAGTATATGTACCGGTTTGCTACATATATAAACTCCGACATACACATATTTGACACAATACATCATAAATACACATATATTATATGCAATTATACACATACAAATATCTGTATTCAATTATATTTATATAGATACATAGACATATTATATTCGCACACTATGAATACCGGAATATGAGGTATACTATGGATTAGATAGTTCTGCCATCTCGTTGAGAAGGAGATCATATACCTTTTTTTTTGAAAATAAAGCGGTTTGTGGACATCCTGGCTATATCCTGATATATTAGTTTACAAATTCCTAGATTTTTTCTATGATTGTTTTGCAGCTGATACTATATCATACTATTTTTATTTTGCGAATTACCTGTGTCGTTCCTCAGTTCCCGCGCACATAAACATAGCTTACCTTGGATTGATTTAAAAAATTCAATCCAATACAAAAAGTAAAGAAAATCTTTAGTTCTTGAAAAACTAAAAAAGTTAAAAATAAAGTATGTACCACAATAAAAAAAAAGTCAACGACCAGGGAAGGCGATCTGAGATCGATTAATCTAAGAATCGATTTCTTAGGCCAAAAAATCGATCTTTACATCGATATGAAGCACTGAATCGATTTGGTGGATCGTAATTTCAATTTAGAAAATCGACTTTCTATTTTTCTGTTTTTTTTTTTTATGTTAGAGTAGGCAGACGATGGAATGTCCTGATGGAAAGTGACTATCACCAAAAAATTATTCACAGCTAGTTGAATGTAAGGTCATGCGGGGCAAGGGCGCCATATTTTTTGCATAGATGAATTCAATGCAAAATATTTTTCTTTTAAGCTGACTTATAAGTGTATATATTTTAAATTGTCATTATTTGGTATGTTGTAGCTGCAAGAAAAGACGATTCAATGTAATCTATCAACATTTTTGTGATATTTTATAAGAATTTGGAAAACATTTATATAGGCGCACTTGCCTGGAAAGTGGGGCAAGTGCGCCGATATAAAAAATAACACTAAAATCATATCTTACCAGAAAAACAGATAATATACTCAATAGAACATAAACAACTAAACGTATTACTCTGGGTTTCTTTTTAATTTATTAGTACTATAGGTTGCTGCAGCTTTCTTAACAAATTTGGGGTATGCGCGCCATAGACTTTAAATCAGGGGATCTAAACCTTTAATGCTGTTTTTTATATAAAGTAAATACTAAATTTAACAGGACAGCTACCGTAAAGTTCACAACCAGATAAGTCCATACTCATCTAGCGTGGACTTTACGGCAGCTGTCGAACTGCATCTTTTTGTCGAAAGATCTGTGGGCAAGCTAGTGTCAGAGTTGTTCAGGCTCAGTCTGAAGGTCTCTGACATGGCTTAATGACTGATGTTGAATAATAAAAGCCAGATCAATGATTTTCCGGCCACCCATCCAAAGACTCATCGCGAACTAGCCTGACCTCGATTATTGCTGCCGATTAACAAGCTTAGGTCTACCTAAGCGCGCATAAAGTAACGAACAAAGGAAATTACAAGTACTATTTATTAACTGTTAGCACTAACTTTAAACGACTTTTATACCGGGTGTCCAAACAAATGTCCTATTTAATGTCACTCAAACAATTCACTCAAAAATTTTTTGAAAATACCTATCCGTTAATAAGTTATGACTTACTTTTAATAGAATTAACAACTTATTCGTGTAACAATAGAAGATTTTAAACGAAAATCAGTACTTTTAAATGTTATATGAATTGAATAAAAGTTGACAACTTCTGCTTTGGGGGAAGTGCGCCATACTACAAAAAAGTTAGGCGCGCTTGCCTCACTTGATTATTTTGAGGGTAAGATTTTAAATTCTTTATTAAAAAAATATTTCCTTATCTAGGACTAAAATACAGACATAGATTTAAAGAAAAACTATTAAATTCTGTACTTAAATCATTGGTTTGCCGCAGCACGTAAAATATTTTAGATTTAAGGGGATTAATTAACAGGTGTTCATCTCTGGTAACAGGTTTAAATTACACTAAAACTAAAATGGTGGATACATCAAGTTATGATGAACAGAGACTTCTGTGATCTAAAGTGGAACTATGTTTTTGTTTGTTGCATTAATGTAAGATGTCGTAAGTTGTCTAATATCAGTGGTTTTTGATATTTTTAGGGAAGGTGCGCTTACCCCGTCGGCGCACTTGCCTCGCCTGACCTTACTCAAAATTAATAATATGTAGACTAGAGAAGCCCGAAATCAAACCAAAGCTATCCTTACATGCATCCATAAAAGTTCATCACGACGAGTTAGGCCTAAAGGCCCCGTTTGTGTCGCTTTCGCAGCTCTACTATATACTATTCTCCATGTTACTCGACACATGTAAAGAAAAAGCAGTTTTTCACTTAATTATATTTATATGACTATCCCCTGTGCCTTGAGAGCGCTTTTTATATCCCATATCTCATTTTGATATCCCAGTAAACTTAACAGTGTTTTTTAAAAGCTTAGACATCAAGCATTAGGAACTATAAGATTATTCACGGTGTAAGGTACATCGTAACGGATATTGAAATAGTGTATTCAGACCATCATTCGGAGTCTAAAATCATTGGAATTTTCTGCCGGAAAATTAAACTTTTTATGCAATCAGCTGTCAAAGGTAGAGGTCATTCCCCGTAGATATCGCACAAAAGTAATAACTACATGTGTATTCCATGCCAACTGTCTACGCACACTTACACAAGTTGGTGGCCGGAGGGGCTGTTTGATTAATTAAATTGCAGTGTTTGATCGTATTCGGTATTTATTAATTTGCTTTCGGTGAAATGTTCTGTTTACTCATTGTAATGATTTTCTGGCGGGAAATTGCAATGATTTCGACTCAGAATCATGGTCTAAATACACTACTTCAGTATTCGTTACGATATCCCTTACACCCTGTATAATATATTTTCTAAACCTTTAATGTAACAAGTAAAGGACAATGGCAGGCATGTATGGGACTTTTGTACCGCTTTAGGTACCGGTAGGGATTATTTAAATAAAACTTCTTTACGCTTGACTTGGGGAATAAGCTGGTGAAAGTCAAGGGTGAGACCAAAAATTTCAAAATTCTCCTACGCACTGCTGGAAGTCAACAAGACTACTGATCTAGCAACAGCTCTGGTCACCTACCACGCCTATGCATATTCCTGGTTTCATTTTATGGGAAAATAGCACAGATGCACCTACTGTATTTTTTTAACAAAAGAAACATGAGAATTTTATTGAATATAGAAGAAACAGAACATGTAAACCCCATTTCCAAAAGCTAATAATATTAACTTTGCCGTCTATATACATTTTATTAATTGTAAATTTGTCCGAAAATACCCGGCACACTACACTACTAGAGAAAACATACAGACCAGATACACACTAAGGCACAAAAATAGACTTAACCTACCAACCTCCCCTCTACCAATGCATTCCTTAGGCCCTTGTTGTATGAAATGATATTGCTTACTTACTTACTTGACTAACCAATTTATTTTTGTATTGTGTATATGAACGGGATTTAATATCCTATTAACTTTATTAGATAATAATTGATATTCACATCGCATTTGCCCAACTTATTTTTGTATATAAATATGTGAATGACAATTAAAATAATATAATATTTACTTAATAAAAATTAAAACAAAACCAAATTTACTATAGTTGAATCAAATTTTTGTATGTATACATTTATAACAGATACCTAGGACAGCAAATTTATCTACAACTTAAATTTAAATGGAAAATATTTTAATAGATTAAATATAAAAATAAATGAAATTAATTTAGATGTGAAAGGTATAATGACTCACCACAGGAAACCGACCGAATAGTGCAAAAATGCCATATAACATGTGTGCAATAATATACATGAAATTACAAACTCTTCCTCTCTCCTAACATTGTGCCAGTGCCCGACAGGGTCCATAATTGTAACTTAATTATAAGCTCGACATCTGTATCACATTATGGAACGCAATAAATGAAATGAGTATCGAATGCGTGACGAGAGCGTTACGAAAAGTGTGATCAGGCAAGGCGAACGCAAGTTGAGAGGGAGATATAAGTTAGTGAAGATAAAAAGAGAGAAAGTTGCGTTTCGTACACATTGTTTTTTCTCTTTTTCTCATAGGCAAGAAGTT